AGGGTGGCACCTGCACCAGCCTAAACACACACGCACACATAACACAACAACAACCGCCGTTCACCACTAAGTGGCTGTGATGTGACCACGGCGCTTGTGCCAGGCTAGGTGCACCTTGAGGCCACGTGAAGTGTCGAACGCCTGCTGGCAGGAGGTCACGGGACAGACCCAGCAGGTGCTACGGATCGACTGACTGAGATGAGTGGCCGATGCACCACCTGTGCCCCCTACTGTGACAACTTGCTGTGTTTTAGCGACCCGGCGTTCCGCTCGTTGTTGTGAGCGTCGCTCCTCTGCCCTCTGTTGTTGTTGGAGGGCAACTGCCTCCAACTGCCCAGTAGCGTCCTTCACGAGCCTCCTCCATAGAGGCCGATCTTGACACCGCTGGTACCAGTCATCGGCAAGTCCGCTCAGCTCCACATCCTCCTGTACCACATCACTCCATCTCTTCTCTAGCCCGTGCCGTGCCCTATCCTGCAGTCACGAAATCTTTAAGTCAAGATTTACCTATAAATGTCATTGTCTGTGTGGATGTGGCCGAAACTTGCGAAGGATTTGGCTCGCAAACCGTGGGGTTGACGTTTAAAAAAAAGTAGCCAGGTACCACGCCATAAGCCCCGTGCTGAGCCAGTGCTATTCCGATTTTGCGTCCGTCACCTTTAAAGTAGTTTAATTAGCGATTTCGTGCTGGTTTTTTGTTATTTATTTATTAGGTAGCACGTGGTCGACCCTACCAACTCACACACGTTCGGTGGGGGGGAGGGCCCCGACCAAGTCACACGCGTTTGGTGGGGGTGAAGGGGGAATTCTCATTCGTGTAAAACATTCTATAAAAATACACAAAATGCTGAGGTAAATTCTTCCTCTTCCCCCCCTCCCCACCCCAATGTGTGAAATTACTACTATAGGGTTAGTAGGTACTAATATTAAAGCGTTTAGATAATATTGTAGAGCGGGTGGGTGGATGGTGGGGGGAGGGGGACAGTGGTAGTGGCCCAGCCTGCCAAGGTGCCACCTCGGCCGGCTGAGCAATCTAGGCGAGGACGGCGGCACTGAATGGGACTAGGTCTCACGATGGCACTGTCAGGTTAGTAGTTTGTGCTATAGAGTCGATATATCTGCTATAGAGTCAGCATGTACTACTGTAGCCATAGCAGGTAACACCACAGTCAGTATGCACTGCATAGTAAGAAAAGCAGGTACCACCAAAGTCGGTATGCTCTGCTATAGTCATAGCAGCTACCACCACAGTCAGTATGCACTGCTGTAGTGATAGCAAGTACCACCACCGTCGGTATGCACTGCTGATGTAGTGATAGCAGGATACCACCACAGTCAGTATGCACTGCTGTAGTGATAGCAGGTTACACCACAGTCACTATGCACTGCTGTAGTGATAGCAGGATACCACCAGTCGGTATGCACTGCTGTAGTGATAGCAGGATACCACCACAGTCACTATGCACTGCTGTAGTGATAGCAGGTTACACCACAGTCAGTATGCACTGCTGTAGTGATAGCAGGATACCACCACAGTCACTATGCACTGCTGTAGTGATAGCAGGTTACACCACAGTCAGTATGCACTGCTGCAGTGATAGCAGGATACCACCAGTCAGTATGCACTGCTGTAGTGATAGCAGGATACCACCACAATCAGTATGCACTGCTGTAGTGATAGCAGGATACCACCACATTCAGTATGCACTGCTGTAGTGATAGCAGGTTACACCACAGTCAGTATGCACTGCTGCAGTGATAGCAGGATACCACCAGTCAGTATGCACTGCTGTAGTGATAGCAGGATACCACCACAGTCAGTATGCACTGCTGTAGTGATAGCAGGATACCACCACAGTCAGTATGCACTGCTGTAGTGATAGCAGGATACCACCACAGTCAGTATGCACTGCTGTAGTGATAGCAGGATACCACCACAGTCAGTATGCACTGCTGTAGTGATAGCAGGATACCACCAGTCGGTATGCACTGCTGTAGTGATAGCAGGTTACACCACAGTCAGTATGCACTGCTGTAGTGATAGCAGGATACCACCACAGTCAGTATGCACTGCTGCTGTAGTGATAGCAGGATACCACCAGTCGGTATGCACTGCTGTAGTGATAGCAGCTACCACCACAGTCAGTATGCACTGCTGTAGTGATAGCAGGATACCACCACAGTCAGTATGCACTCCTGCTGTAGTGATAGCAGGATACCACCAGTCGGTATGCACTGCTGTAGTGATAGCAGCTACCACCACAGTCAGTATGCACTGCTGTAGTGATAGCAGGATACCACCACAGTCAGTATGCACTGCTGCTGTAGTGATAGCAGGATACCACCAGTCGCTATGCACTGCTGTAGTAATAGCAGGTTACACCACAGTCGGTATACGCTGCTGTAGTGATAGCACGCACCACCACCGTCGGTATGCACTGCTGTCGTTAAAGCAGGTGCCACCAAAGTCGGTATGCGCTGCTGTAGTGATTGCAGTTACCACAACAGTCGGTATGCACTGCTGTAGTGATAGTAGATACTGCTATCGAGTTGGTAGATACTACTATAGAGTTAGTAGATACTACTATAGAGTTAGTAGATACTACTATAGAGTTAGTAGATACTAAAACAGTCAGTATTTACCATTACGGTCAGTAAATACTGCTACAGTCAGAAGATACTACTATAGTTAGTCGCTCCTGCTATAGTCAGTAGATACTGCGATAGAGTTAGTAGTTACTACTATCGTCAGTGGATACTACTGTAGTGACATCGGGGATGTCACTGTATGGTGCCGGCCCGGACGGGCCGTTCCGTTTGATGTTCCTACATCGTGGACAGCACTGTGTGGGTGGCTGTGTGTGACACAGCCCTAGCAGGGACAGCACCGTGTGGGTGGCTGTGTGTGACACAGCCCTAGCAGGGACAGCGCCGTGTGGGTGGCTGTGTGTGACACCAGCCCTAGCGTGGACAGCACTGTGTGGGAGGCTGTGTGTGACACAGCCCTAGTGGGGACAGCACCGTGTGGGAGGCTGTGTGTGACACAGCCCTAGCAGGGACAGCACTGTGTGGGTGGCTGTGTGTGACACAGCCCTAGCAGGGACAGCACTGTGTGGGAGGCTGTGTGTGACACAGCCCTAGCGTGGACAGCACCGTGTGGGAGGCTGTGTGTGACACAGCCCTAGAGGGGACAGCACTGTGTGGGTGGCTGTGTGTGACACAGCCCTAGCAGGGACAGCACTGTGTGGGTGGCTGTGTGTGACACAGCCCTAGAGGGGACAGCACCGTGTGGGTGGCTGTGTGTGACACAGCCCTAGTGTGGACAGCACCGTGTTGGTGGCTGTGTGTGACACAGCCCTAGTGTGGACAGCACCGTGTGGGTGGCTGTGTGTGACACAGCCCTAGTGGGGACAGCACCGTGTGGGTGGCTGTGTGTGACACAGCCCTAGTGGGGACAGCACCGTGTGAGTGGCTGTGTGTGACACAGCCCTAGTGTGGACAGCACCGTGTGGGTGGCTGTGTGTGACACAGCCCTAGTGGGGACAGCACCGTGTGGGTGGCTGTGTGTGACACAGCCCTAGCGTGGACAGCACCGTGTGGGAGGCTGTGTGTGACACAGCCCTAGCAGGGACAGCACCGTGTGAGTGGCTGTGTATGACACAGCCCTAGTGTGGACATCACCGTGTGGGTGGCTGTGTGTGACACAGCCCTAGCAGGGACAGCACCGTGTGGGAGGCTGTGTGTGACACAGCCCTAGAGGGGACAGCACCGTGTGTGTAGCTGTGTGTGACACAGCCCTAGTGGGGACAGCACCGTGTGTGTGGCTGTGTGTGACACAGCCCTAGCAGGGACAGCACCGTGTGGGAGGCTGTGTGTGACACAGCCCTAGCGTGGACATCACCGTGTGTGTAGCTGTGTGTGACACAGCCCTAGCAGGGACAGCACCGTGTGGGAGGCTGTGTGTGACACAGCCCTAGAGGGGACAGCACCGTGTGTGTAGCTGTGTGTGACACAGCCCTAGTGGGGACAGCACCGTGTGTGTGGCTGTGTGTGACACAGCCCTAGCGGGGACAGCACCGTGTGTGTAGCTGTGTGTGACACAGCCCTAGTGGGGACAGCACCGTGTGTGTGGCTGTGTGTGACACAGCCCTAGCGTGGACATCACCGTGTGGGTGGCTGTGTGTGACACAGCCCTAGCGTGGACAGCACCGTGTGTGTGTGGCTGTGTGTGACACAGCCCTAGTGGGGACAGCACCGTGTGAGTGGCTGTGTGTGACACAGCCCTAGTGTGGACAGCACCGTGTGGGTGGCTGTGTGTGACACAGCCCTAGTG